TATCCAAAATGAGGAGAAGTGAATATCTGGAGCGCTCAACACTCTCATGCAGTGTATGTTTAATTCATACTCGAAGCCGGAGGGCGCTCTCGTGCAGAAAGTCCAAAACAGACTCATAGAAGGAATGACTTATGACGTGCAGGAAACCCTAATATGGACAAAAGCATCCGGCTATCGCTGTAGCTGAGCTGAATAAAAAGCAGAAAAAAACGTGAAGACAATAAACACACGATTGCGGAAATATATGGTTTATGTGTGATTTTCAAGTTATCTCCAGGTAATAAATAAACTTTATGAATAATGCAGTACTGATTGACATATCATTTAGTAGCCTATAGAAACTCTAAATTTCCTGACTTACTCTGTGATAAAAATGGGGAAAAGGTGCTCGTAGTAGCCTTTATAAACAGATCATAAAATTGTCATTAGGAAAATATTGAACAAAAATATTATAGCCCCTTGCTGCAGCTAACCTTACTTCCACAGGCTACAAACAGCAATATAAACAACAGCTGTGCATGCTCTCTTCACGCAGTTCTTGTATAATAATAATAATTTAATAATATAAGTATACAAGCACACCGCTCCGCTGAGAACCGCACTTACCGGCAGCCGCGGACATTATGAAGGCATCCTGGTAGTGCGCTACATTAAAGGTGTCTGAACGTGAGGGATAGTCCTTGATGAGATCGTCAGGTGAAAGGTCATCATCATGTGGATAATTTTATTTACGACTAAATTATTATTCATTCATTTTATTAATAGTTAGATTGGGCTGGCCTTCACAAAATGGCGTTTAATTACAAAAAAAAAAAAAAAATTGCCTTGACAAAAGGGCACTTTGGGCATCAAGGGGAAAAGGGGCAGGTGCTCAAGCCCCCCATCGCACCCTCTCTGCACGTGCCTGGTCTGTAGTACGTGATCTTGGTTCTATTTTTAGTTTTTTAAGAAACTGCCTTGGAACTGTCCTTTCTCAACATTGTTATTGAACTATTTTGGAATAATTAAATCATTTTCAGTAACCTTGCTGAGATCCTCTGAGACATCGTAGGACCAGAAACTACTCCAAATGGTCTTATTTTCTATAAACAAGTGTAACCTACTGATGTGAAAGTGCATGGTAAATGACCTTAACTAATATCTTAATGAATTTGATTAATCAATCGGAGTCTACAGACTAGTAGAGTGATCGCTGTGGTAATCGTTGCAGTGTTAAGCCATTGCCACTAGTCGGCAGAAACACTCCTTTAATCAGAAATCTCCCAACAGATTTTCACATATTGCTCATGTTCTGGCAAACCTAACGGGAGGGGTGAGCTCATATAAAGAAATTCATGTCAAAATATGTTACAAAATATGTCAAAGATACCATATTTTCTATGTAAATCCTCAAACTGGATCATTTTACCTCAGACGTTTTAGATATTGGATATTACTTAACTGAATGCACAAAGTTTTTTTTTTTTTTTTTGGTTCAGAGAAGAGATTAGACATTAAACAGACAATAAAATTAAATAAAAGTTAAAAAGTAGAGGTGAGGGGAAAAGTCAAAAAGGAGTAGACTGAACACAACACTGTCAACCTAAAATTATCCAGCCTTGTTTCAAACATATTTTGGAATGTCACAGTGCCATCTTGAATGTTTATGTGCTTTGGTCATAGAATTTCAATAACTCCCTTTGCTCACAGCTCAGAGTAACACCGGTGCAAAGTAACTGTCAGTGCTACAAAACAACTGAATTATATACTACATGTTATTATCTGGGCTTTAATAATGGAAAAATATACATGCTTATTTTATTTAGGCTTTGGGTTTAAGCTGACATTTTCTTTCATTGTAGACATAGCTACAAAAAGACACCAGGTATTTTATTCACAATTTGATAATGATGACGGAACTGACCTATCTTTACAAATAGATTATAATGATTATTTTAAATGAATTCAGTTTTTTTTACTTCTATTCATCAAAGAATGCTGAAAAACTGTATTTCTGATTTCTGAAGGATTGTGTAACACTGAAAACTGGAGTAATGGCTCCTGAAAATTCAGCTTTGCCATCACAGGAATAAATTACATTTCAAAATTAATTAAAATAGACAACTGTTTTATTTAAACTGTAATAATGATTCATAATATTAGTGTACTGTAATCAAATAAATGCAGCCTCGGTGAGAATAAGAGACTTCTTTCAAAACTATTATAAATCTTACTGACCCCAAACTTGTGAATGATGGTGTCTATATACAGACTGAACCCATGACATAAAAAGGATTCAGGGGATCCTGGTGTGACCTGATGTTCACCTGCATGCGGCACCACAGGTCCAAATCCTTCACAAGCTTATCATACTTCCACTAATGCATATTGGATGAAAACTAGCAGGACCCCATCATGAGATGTCTGTGTAACTACAGCTTCATGGTGCTTGGAAAGGAACCCCATGTCTTCAAATGCCTCACTTTATAGTCTGCATTAATGGAGCTCAGAGAAATGCCATCAGGCAGACAAGCAGGTTTATTTGAATCGGCAGTCCATTTAAAGGTTATGCTGGGTTACTACAGGACTTACGTTAGTGGTACTGGCCATGTACTGACCTTGAAAAAATAATTTAAGGACTTCCATCATGGATTTCAGTAAGAGATGGATGTTTTAGTTGACAGCAAAAAAAAAAAAAAAAAAAAGCTAATGAGTCGGTTTTGGAAAATGCAATGTGCATGTGTGCCTATTTGTGGCCTTGCTATAATTATCCTTCATGGCCACGCAAGCTGCAGACTGATTGGAAACAGTAGAGTCTTATGCCCCGGTGCACCACCCCAGGAGTCCAACAGCACAGAAAGAAAACACTGAGCTTAGAGCGCACCCCTGAGTGTCCAAGTAAAGACGAAAACATATGGAGAATCTACTGCTGGGATGCTGGCTGTGATGACAGAAGAGTCTTGCTGGTCTCTCTAACTTTCTTTTGCAGTTTCTTGTGGACAGGCTTTAAGAATATATGCTGGATATAGGCAGCTGACTTTGAGTGGACACTTATAGACTAAGAAGATGAGTTCCAGAAGGCTGATGAACCGTTCGCTCTCGAGTGATGGAAGGTCTTACTACGGTGGCAGTGATATCAGCTCTCAGAATAGAAGGGTTGGCTGTAGGAGCTACCTGAGCAGTGTTCGATCTGAAAGCAGGTATAGGTTTCTGATTCCTGATGTAAAATGCATTTAATGCGTAACTGAAAGTATCATTAAAAGCTTAAACATTATGACTTCTATCCTTACAAAGCATATAGATACATATTAAAGTTAAGGGCTAGTAATTAGAGGGTTGCTTGTTTGATCCCTGTGAGTGAGTCATGAGCCCACACTATTGAGCCCTTGTATAAAGCACTTAAGCCTAAACCTGGGCTGTCCCTGTAATATGTGGATAAAAGCATCTGTTAAATGACTGCTTTCTAAATGTACATGTTTATAGTGAGTGTTATAAATAATGCAATGGTACTTAAACAACAATCTAAATAGACAGGCCTACATAAACGGTACATAAATAATGCATACTAAAAGCCATAAGCTTCCTCAGACTATAAATGAATTCTAGCTTACATGACATTTAATTCTGAACAAACAAATAAATGAAAAAATAGAATGTGTTTGCCTAAAATACAGAGTGATTCAGGGATTCTGTTTCCTCACTGAGAGAAGTCATTTTCTTACTTTACTGCCAATAGTTCAGAGCTCCACCACTGGTCAGTCGAACTCTTGAAAGGCTTGTGTGAAGGTCATAATGTTATAAATAGGTAGTCTGCAGTGCCAGCCTCAATAAATGACTTTTAGTGTTTACCTGTGTGCAGTTTACCACACCAGCAGCGGTTTGCTTATATAACATGCATTATATAAGTTGGGGTAGAGTGGGGGAAAACACCCCCTGTGTAATTTTTACACTGTGTAATTTTTTTCTGTGAGACAAAAGTTAAATGTGTTCAGAAAAGTTATCATAGTTTTAGTGACGATGACATAAATTATAAACAAAGTATGAAAAATATCCAGAGTTTTCATGTTATTAGATCTTGATCATAAATGATGCACAGTAAAAATATTTATCTCACAAGTTATATTAATCTTAATTTTTCTTGTTTTTATTCACATATGTTTCATTTCAATTTCATTTCATTTGCTCCTTGCAGACGTGTTTGTCTAGAATAAAATCGATAAAATATCTATAAAAATATCTATACATAAAAGGCATTTCAAAATGAACGACTGATGAAAATATGAAATGTATGGCTTCATATAACAAAAATGAAAGGGGCGTAGGGAACATAGAAATGGCAATGAAAGGGACATAGAAGAAACACCCATTTGAAGAAACACCCATTTATTAACTTACTGTAAGGTTAATAAGAAAAGAAAATGCTTATCATAAGGATGTTAATGATGCAGTGACATCTGAATTACCTACAATTATACAAAGTCACGCAACACCTATCTAACAAAGAGTTTGATATACACTTTTAATCTTTAGAATTTTCTGTTTATTTTAATATTGTGTCTGACCTAGCCAATATAAACACTGTAAATCTTACTTTGCATGAATGCTAACAATAATGATGACAGTGATGTCAGTGCTCTGCTGATGATAAAGCAAATTAGTAATACATATTTAACCTCAGATCGATTACAATATTTACCTCCATTTTTAGGAACACTCTCTGCAGTGTCATGGCCCAATTAACTGAGGAGATACAGCCAACATTTGAGACCACATTAAAATCCAAAGCTGTGTCTGAAGACGCTAACATCAAGTTCAGCTGTGTGGTCTCAGGTATCCCATTAAAGCAAGTGAATCCATTGTGGAACAAGTTGTCCAAACTTCCTGTTCCCCAGTCTTTAATTTTAACCATCACATTTGCAGGCCACCCAGTCCCTGAGGTGACATGGTACAAAGATGATGTACAGCTGGACAGATACTGCGGCCTTCCCAAATATGAAATTTCACGCGATGACAAGACACATACACTCCAAATATACAAGTATGCTGTTTTCTGAGAAACAGTTTTCTTGTTTTGATTACTGTTTAGTGAACATTTAACTGTGTGTATTTCTATCTTAGCTGTACTCTGGAGGATGCTGCAATTTACCAAGCATCAGCACAGAACAGTCGAGGCATCGTGTCATGTTCAGGGGTGTTGGAGGTGGGAACAATGAATGAGTACAAGATTCATCAAAATTACTTTGCAAAGCTTAAACTGCGAAATGAGAACCGACGTCGAGAGCAGGAGGAGCCCCGCAATGCAGGCAAAGAAAATGTCCCAGCAGCCCACGAGAACGTCAGGGTGAGCAGTCCTGAAAGAGCCCAAAGGAAACGTAGGTCCCCCATGGAGACCAGAGCGGCTGGCAGCCCTTCAGAGGAGAAAGCCATGGAGGTGGATGCTCTCAGTCCAACACCTCCAGTTCAAGAGTCAGCAGCGGCATCTGTTCATGAAATCTCAAACTGTGAAATGATCACAAACAGAGACAAAGATGGCCAAGGGCTAACGTATATCCATGATACCGTGCATAATGCCTCCAGCAAACAAACTAATGAGCATTACGTCAAGAAGAAGATCAAAATCTCAACAGAAGCAACAGAGGGAATTAAGGAAAACAGACAGACTGGAAGAAGTGAAGAGATAATGAATGAGAGTGGGGCTTCCACTGAGAAGATGGAAGTACAGAACTCTGTCGATCAGATCACCTCCTTGACTGAATATGAAAACAAAATGGACATAACAGACAGACAAATAAGTGAAAAACAATCAGTGAAAGTGAACAAAAGCCCCTCAAAAGAATCAAAGAGAGCTCAGGATGTTCAGACTGCCTCAGTGTCTGAATCTAGAAACAAATTGGACATAACAGACATAAGAAAAAGTGAAAAAAGTTCAGCACACACGAACAAAAGTCTCTCCGAAGAATCAAAAAGAGCTCAGGGTGCTCAGATCACATCAGCAACAGAATCTAAAAACAAAATGGACATAACAGACACAAAAGCAACTGAAAAACAGTCCGAGAGAGTGAACAAAATGGTCTCAGAAAAGCCAAAGGGAGCTCAGGGTGTTCAGATCACCTCAGTGACTGAATCAAGAATTAAAATGGACATAACCACAAATAAGAATCAAAAATGGTCAGTGAAAGCAAACAAAAGTCCTTCAGAAGAATCAAAGAGAGCTCAGGGTGCTCATATTGCCTTAGCGACTGAATCAAGAAACAAAATTGGCATAACAGTCACAAAAAAGAATGAAAAACAGCAAGTAAAAGTAAACAAAAGTGCTTTAGAAGAATCAAAGAGAGCTCACCATGCCTCAGTGACTGAATCTAGAAACAAAATGGACGTAACAGTCACAAAAACGAATGAAAAACAGTCAGAGAAAGTGAACAAAAGTGTCTCAGAAGAACCAAAGAGTGCTCAGTGTGCTCAGATTGCCTCAGTGACTGAATCAAGTAAAAAAATGGACATAAAAGACACAAAAAAGAATGAAAAACAGTCAGAGAAAGTCAATAAAAGTGTCTCGGAAGAATCAAAGAGAGCTCAGGGTGTTCAGATTGCCTCAGTGACTGAATCTAGAAACAAAATGGACGTAACAGTCACAAAAACGAATGAAAAACAGTCAGAGAAAGTGAACAAAAGTGTCTCAGAGGAATCAAAGCGAGCTCAAGGTGCTCAGATCACTTCAGTGACTGAGTCAAGAATCAAAGTGGACATAACAGACACAAAAAAGAATGATAAACAGTCAGAGAAAGCGAAGGAAAGTTCCTCAGAATCAAAGAGAGTTCAAAAGCCCATTACAACCCAGAAACAACTGCCACTGAAGTTTTCCATGACAACCCAGATGAACAAGGTGGTTGAGTACACAAAGCTAACTAAATCATCTGACAAAAGCACATTAAACCTCCAACATCAAGCTCTAGATACTATCCAGAACTGTAATGCAAGAGTTATAGACAAGAAGCTCTTGGATTTTGATGACCACAGAAATAAAACTCCAGTAGGTACATGTGTGAGGATCTTTCCTCATTCCTGTGGTGGGAATGACGTCAACGTGGACACAGGGGAGAGGAATGCGTCTGCATGCTCTCTTAGGAGCTTGGTGAGTGTTTCCTCATGCTCTGGCCGTGACCTCATGCGAGTGTAATGTTCCCGGTGGTAGTGAGACCAGTAACCCCCCCTAAGTCACAATCATAAACTATAAATAGAGCCGCAAGCATGACTTTGATGATGTGACAAGACCCATCTTATATGACAAGTAGGGAAACAGACAATGATAATATTCCCATTACGCACTTTGTGGCTTCAGGGCACATGGAAGTATAGAGATCCAGAGATCCATCAAATATGTTTGTTGTCCCTAATCACCTGTTGCTACATGACGTTTTAAAAGTAGATACAAAATAAAACTTTACTATGCAAGCCATAAGTGCTGTGGACAGACCAGCTGCTCTCCTTTTAATATCTCACATTCCCCTCTGATCTCATAAAGCCTTAAAATACTCTCTAAATATGGGCAGTGCAACAGCTTCCCCAAGGCAGTAGATGCTAAATAAGAAACAAAGATAGACCTAGTCAACTGGAAACGGGTGGCTTCTCATTCTAACTTGTAATCATATAATTAAGGAATTCACATTATCTAATGTGGGGTCTGTCAAATAAAGTAATGTTGAATCCACTTATATTCTCTCGTTTTTATCTTATCTTAGCTAAATGAGAGATAATCAAGTGATAATATTACAGAGGTTCAGCTAACACAATGATCTGTTGATTTTAGATTAATAACTGAAGTGCTAAGTGGCAGACTCGCCCTGCAGATTTACAGCGATTAGGGATCTGGCATTAGTACAGTGCAGCTGAGCTGAACCAGTATATCTGTTTTAAATGTGTGTATAAGTACATTATCTTCCCATAAAGGAAATGTCTTGATCGCTTGTATTATATATA